GTCCGATTGTGCTGAAATTTCAATCACTAATGCATCATCCCAGCCTGATTATAATACACTATAAAACATATGAAAAGTGAACTCTATAGCGCCCCCTAGCATAGACATGAAAAGTAAACAATATTGGATTTGTACCAAATTCAGGGATTAAATTCTATGCATGATTACAAGCAACAAAGTCTATTACGGACATGATGCATTTTTCACGGTTGGCCAGTAGGGGTGCAAAGACTCCCTCAAAAAAATTGTTACAAAATAATTACACACACAGGTTAAGTCCGATCGTGCTGAAATTTGAATCACTAATGCGTGATCACAGCCTAAACATAATACACCTTAATGCATATGAAATGTGAACACTATAGCGCCCCCTACCATAGACATGACATGTCAACATTATTGGATTTGTACCAAATTCAGGGAATAAGTTCTATGCATGACTATGAGCTAAAATATATATAGCGGACATGGTGCATTTTCCACTGTTCGCCAGCAGGGGCGCAATGACTCCTAAAAATATTTAAAGGTGCATTATGTAACGTGTGGGGCGTGCTTTAATTGTTACTTGTTTTTGTTTCCAAAACTCAGAATGCTCTGTTCCACCTGGTGATGTCATGTAGTCCTAGTTTTAAAGCTATCAGCAAAGTTTTACCTTTAGTGCAGTAGAGAGATTGGAAATTCCAGGGTTTGTGTGTTAAACTTGTGTGAATGAAACAAAGCAACACTCAGGGCAGGTTTTTGATGAAACCTAAATATGAAAGTCTAAAACAAGATTATAGATTTGTGTCTTCCAATCACCTGTGCTCTCTGCTCCTCTTCTGTCAGTGCAAATCTGGCACACGGTCAGACAGCAGCGATGTACAGCGCCTCTAGTGGTGAAGTGTGAGAATACAACAAGGGCCAGTCAGCCAGTCTTGTTAGTTAGTTTAGTTTATTTATTTAAGGAGACAGCGACAGTGCACAATTTACATTAACGTTAACAGGAGAGATGCATTGTACCAATTTGTAGTACCAGTGCTTATTTCCACCTGTAGTCCTTGAGCAGGTTAATTGATTGATTGTATTTAATTGACTTTAACTATCAGCTATCAGCAGTTCTTCCTGGAGACCTGTAGTATGTTTTGGGTTGATGGGGGAAACCAGAGCACCCGGAGGAAACCCACCCAAACACAGAGAAACATGTAAATGAATCATGGATGGTGACTTTAACAGGATTCATTTAACATGAATAAAAACTCTTAACTAAATAAAGTTCATTTTATATATTAAGTCTCCTTTCAAGTCTCCCTAACCACCTTTGTACAAGCAAGATGGATCAATGCATACTCTCAGCTCCTACTCTTAAATCATGGCTTTTGGACAATCGAATCTGTCCACACAACTGAACTTAAACAGAGCCTTTTTGCACCTGAGCTGGAGACAATCATATTTGTATATAGATCTGTAACTGATGTTGTACGTATGTATGTAGTGAGAGTAAGTGTGTGTGTGTAATACTAATGTTGTAAGCTTGTGTTTTAGAGTGTATCAGTGTGTTTTAACAGATTTGCTCTGGTGAATCATTGACTGATTTATGCTGACGGCAGGATAGAGCTGTGTTAGTATTCTGAAGAGGCCTTAAGTCAAGTGCCTGAAAACTCCTCTTTAAGTTATAGATCTTTTTCAAGATCAAAGCCTATGAACCCTCATTAAAAAACGATTGCCTCTTGCAACAGTATGGAGAGATAATGAGTGAGGCAATTATCTACATACACAAATATAGTGGATAGAGAGTGTTAGGGCTTCTTATCTCACTGCAGCAAAGCCATGAATGTGTGTCTGACCTGTATATTTAATACTAATGTTAGACTTAGACTTAATGTTATTGGACACAGTAGCTCACACATCACAATATATTCTATTAACAAAAGAGAAATGGTAATAATACAGTGAATAAGTAGCAAAAATGTGTTAAATAAGGCATAAATATATAAATGTATATTAGGGTGCGTCATTTGCCCAACTTTTTGAATTTTATTTGAAAATCAGTCTGTACCTATTAACTATTTTTTACACCTGCCAAATTAAACTTCACTGAGAAATTTCATGAAATTCTATTGAACCAAACCTCTTAAGTTTAGTGCTTGCAGAAGCCTTAAATTTGAGCAGAAAAATCAGTTTTTCTTTAATAACACCGTTATCCTTTCTGGAAACTTGGTTTTGGTTTACCAAAGCCTGAGCCATTGCATCATTGGGACACTATTGGTGACGTCAAACGTGCTTACTCCAATGTTTTATACAGTCTGTGATCAC